TAAAAATACCTTTTGTCCACGATCGGCTCCCGTTACCGCAAATTTCATATTTTAATTGAAAGTCCTTGGAGCACTAATATTCCGTCATAGGCCCTCTCACACTACAGATTCACTCTAATAAATACATTCACTCTCAATATTCAACAAAAGAGCACAAAATTAGATATTTATCTAGTCGTATATTCAATCAAATATTTTCCTTTAATAATCAGAAGAGGGGAATCGCTGCCTTGATCAAGACAGTTCTCAAATCGGGTGGCATTCGTACTCCCCCTTGTACGGAACCGAGGAATGACACACTTCAATGTGTATAGTGTGGGCAATCTTAAGAATGCTCGATATGTCAGATAGGCGGGCTTTTGCTTAAACGTTAGGTCTGTATGGCAACCTCACATGGCCTATTCTTAATCGGGTGAAAATTATATGTTTATTATTATATATTATATTTATTTACCTATTCCCCATATCGACTTGTCTTTTTCGGTGTCTTCCTTAACAAATAATCTCGTGATCGGCAAATGACTGACTAGTACGACAGCCCTTCATGACAGGGTTGGTGACCTAAATCCTACGATATTTTAAAACTGTCCGTACTACTTTCCCCGTGCTTTCTCCATTTTGGTACTTAGGCACAAGAAGGGTGTTTATAAAGGAAAATCATTTTTAGACAGTTAAAAAACGGGTGTTTTCATGTCCCGTTCAGCGAGGTCGGCCCAAAAATCGCTCCTCGTTCAAATTTGTCCACACAGCACTACCGATTCTTGTGTAACAGTTGTGCAACATCCTGTATTTGCTAGAAAGAACAGTTATTGCGGTAATGAATAAAATAATTTAAAAAAATCTGTAATGCAACATACAGATTTTCTTATGGAGAAGCGTTATAGCATATCTTTCATTTATATTTGTTGTATATTGGCAATTAAGGAAAACAGTGGCACGTGGCCCTTTATTTCCTTATTTGACAGGAATAAATATTGTTAAGAAATCAATCTAGAGAGTTGGTTTTATCTTAATTCATTGTACCGTTGCGATCACTTTTGTGATTATATGTATATATCAGAAAAACTAACAATTATGTTTCGTTTAATAAAATAACAAGTTATTTATATAATTACTTGGTATAAGTGTACAATTTTATGTCTATTCATGAATAGGAAGCAAAAAAAAATTATGTTATATATGCTAAATTGTTCGTTTTATCGTATTATATTGTCGTTGCTTGTATAACTAATAATTTTAACGAAAAAAGCCTTCATGTGTACGGTTCATTCTGTGTTATCGGTTTTCCTTCTTTTACAAATCAGATCTTGTCAGATCACACAGATTGCTACAAATTTATCTGACTGTAACGTTGTGTTTGTGTCAGTACTGTCGGGTGCAATCCAAATCCTTGAGTGAGCGGATTGGAAACGTTGCAAAAAGATGATAGAAACCCCCCCACACTAACAACAATTTTGATAGATAATAGTTAAGGCCGGCTGAAAACTTTTTTTTATTCGTTGTGATAAAATTTGGCATTGCTGAAATCAATTACGCGATCCGATCACTTACAAATCGCCCAATATGTTGATCACGCGTTAACTAGTCCGCGTCGATAAAATGTAGGTTTTGTCACTTACAGGGAAATATTTTTTTAAAAGAAAACTTGATAAGTTAAAATAAATAAAAGTTACAAATATCCACATTTGGACCGATATTCTGTCATTTCGACGTATGATTTTCACCAAAAACCTTTTTTGACATCCAAGGTGGTAGGCTTTGGGTGAAAAGCCTGGAAAAGTTAATGTTTGTAAGCTAGAACTATTTTTCTAAAAATCTAAAAGCACGTTTTGTTAAATTTCATTCGCAATCCCATTTTTCTTTTTTCCATATATTTTCTTATCTCTCTCACTCTCTCTCTCAATCCCTCCCTTTCTCTTTTCTATCTGTCTGCTTGTCTGTTTCTATTTCTCTATGTCTGTCTGTCTGTCTCTCCCTCCCACTCCCTCTCTCTCACTCCCTCTTTCTCTTTTCTATCTGTCTGCTTGTCTGTCTCTATTTCTCTCTTTCTGTCTGTCTGCTTGTCTGTCTCTATTTCTCCCTTTCTCTCTCACTCTCTCTCTCTCTCTCTCTCTCTCTCTCTCTCTCTCTCTCTCTCTATCTATCTATCTATCTATCTATCTATCTATCTATCTATCTATCCATCTCTATCTCTATCTCTCTGACACTCCCTCTCTCATCCCCTCACTCTCTCCCTCGTTCTTTCTCTCTCTCTCTCTCTCTCTCTCTCCTCCTCTCTCTCAATCTCTCGCTCTCTCACTCACTCCTCCCTCATTTGCACTATTATATACCTCAACAGGAAGATTATTATTCGAATGGTAATCAATATAATATTAATAATATATCGTTGGTTTAAGAAATAAATGGTATAAAAAATAATAAAATAAAAAAAAATTAACTTATTTAAAAATTAATCATTTAGCGTTGCACGAGATAAGTTATTTATATTAACTAAAAATGATTGAATTAGTTCTAAAAGTAAAGGTTATAGTTGTAATTAATAAATGTTTAAAAAGAAAAAATTAATTCATATCGAAAAATATGTTTATATATACGTTGTTTTTAATTACAAATATTTTTAAAAAACCTCGTCTTCAAAAATATTTTAAAAAATTGTTATAACCATTAAAAACAAAAATATTTATATTAATAGCAATTATAATACTGATGTAATTATAATATCTAAAAAGATTGAATTTTATTTAACAAAGGAATGTTGTTAATTAAAGAATGGTAATGTTTGTGTTTAGGTCAGAGAGCACATATTATCAATAAAAGCTTAAATCAAAAAAGTGAATGAAGTTTACAAATAAAAAGAATCATTTTGATAAGAAAATAAAAATATTAGTTTGTTTACAAACTTTTTTTAAAAAAAATCAATTAACTTAAAAATAAATGTTTCCATTAATAGTAATAAAAATTCATAAAAACTAAAAAAACTATTGAACTTAGTTTACTATATATAATAAAAAATAAATAAAAAAGAACTTTATTTACAGAAAGAAAATACAGTTATAACCTTCAAAAAAAATTTTATTACTTATAAAATGATAGCGATCATGTTTATTAAATAAAATTGAATGCATTTAATTTATAAGATAATATAGATCTTTAATTTATAAGATATTTTTATTGTATATTATTTCTTACTATTGAAGTAAATAAAAAAGAAATGTTATAACATAAATTAAAAACAAATAATAATTACAATGAAGCCTATGAGAAAACATTCGTACCTAATGTTGCGTGCGCGATTGTAAGAGAAGCCAATATTGTCCTAAATTTGTACTCATAAAAAATAAAAGTTCAGTTCAGTTCTCTCTCTCTCTCACTCTCTCTCTCTCTCTCTCCTTGGTTTCCATAACTATGTACAGGAAGTTTGTTATTCGAATGACGGTAATTTTTGTTCTCTTAACAAAGTGAAGTAATTGGGGGAATTGACTCTCTGTCAGCCCAACGCCCGGATTTTGAAATTGATCAAGAAGAAATTATATATTTTCGATTCTTTCAAAACCGATTCAAGGCCTTTCTGGATTATAAAAATAAAAAGTATAAATGTCCAGACCGGGTGAAAACGGCCTGGCCGGTCTCGTACAAAAACCGGCGCCACCGGGTGTCCTGTATTTGCATAAGAAGTCGTCCTTGCCGGCCCTTCCTGCTGACGTTATTGGGTCATGGCAGGAAAGGTGCAATTAAGTGCGAAAAAGGATGTGAACTTCCTGGCCAATGTGCAAACAAGCTATCTTCAAAGGGCGGGAAATCGAGATAAAAATCGTCCCGACGTTTACACATAATATATAACGAATCTAACTGTGGGTCAAACACGTTCACTCTACACAAAAAGGATCACAAAATTAAAGTATGAAGTACAATATACCATAAACAGTCCGTTTCGTCCAAAAATTGGAACAGGGGATCATTTTATTGAATTGATATTTATGAAAGGTATAAAAAGTCTTTTTATAAAAAAGTCAGTGTCACGAGCGGGATTCGAACCCACGATCTTCGGCTAGATACGCCCCTGCTCTACCACTTGATTATCGTGACCTCACCTCTCGAATTTTCCCTCCTTATTGCCATTTTTCAACCAATACCTTTCATAAATATTAATTAATTGAAAAAAGTTAATTGGTCAATCGGACCACGAACTGTAATGGATTTATTGAGTTGAGTTCAATAATATTATTGTTTGTTATGTCAATCCTTTCTGAATACTTTTGTCCCTTTACCCTCTGATCTATTTGTTTACAAATTGAACTATTATTGTTCAATTTTAAAACATTTTTTTTGTGTTCGTTATATTTTGTTAATAAGGCTTGAGGCTTGAACTTCTTTAGATAAGAAGCCGGTTTTGTATGATTTTAAATACACAAAGAAACCATAAAAACAAACGCTTGTTACAAGTCTCGAAAAGTCGAAGTCAGTAAAGTCTGTCTGGAATAGAAAGCGGTTGGGTTCGCACAGACGAGTTTATTTTCGTCTCGCTTCTTGTGAGAAAACAGGAAAAACAGGAATGGGTTTCCTTAAGTCCTTATTTAATTTATTTATTCCTCTTTGGTCTCGTTCAAAACCGCGTCTGGGTAGTCGTTGGCTTTTATGCAAGCCGAAATAGTAGTAAAAACAAAACGAGTTTTTTAACAATCCAAATGTCAAAAATTGAGTAGACTTTCAAAAATCGTTAACCCAGGTGGATTATTACAACCCAGCTAACTTTTGTTAACGAAAATTATATTTAAATTCGAATTAACTTATTGATTTATACTTTAAAAATCCATACTCTTTGACATTTTGTCTTATAAAAACTAACCAAGTCTGATTAATAAAAAGTACTTAAATTTTGAGGTCATTTTATTTTTAAAAGGTATGGATATACAACTTATATAAAAAAATGTACACAAAATCCACATAGTTTGGAGGTCGGTTTTTGTTTTTGTAATTTTTTTTTAAATTGTACGGCTTACCAGTATTTAATGTCTTCATGGCCTCTGCGACAGTACAGCCGGCGGACTTTTAGAAGAGAATTGAGAAGCACACCGAGCTGTCGAGCATGTCTGGTCCCGAACTGCTCAACTGTCTGTTGTCCCCCTAGCCAACAAGCCGGGTTGTTTAGAAATATCTATTTTTACCTTTCCGTGCGATCGGATGAAATTTGATTTGCCCAATCATTCTAATTTATCTTTGAATACCCTGGATTAGAACTTTTACAGCTTAGAAAAGCTAATATTTTCCAGATAGGACAATTTTTGATTAAAAAATATCCTTCCTTCGGGTAAATAAATTCCTCTTATTCTAACTGTTTTAGATTTTTGAAACCAATTTGTTCTATAGAAGACTAATTTAGTTTTAACTACCCAGGATTTTATCTTTTATAGCCTAGGAAAGCTACTGTTTTCCAGAAAGGGCAGTTTTAGCTAAGAATACTAAAAGCTTCTGGTAGATAAAATCAACTTAAGTTAACTCTTCTCAATCCAAAGTGTTCAATAGAAGACTAGATTACTTTTGAATACCCAAGTTTTTGATTTTTATAAGAAAATATTTTCCATCAAAGACCTTTTTTGCTGAGATAACTATGATTCTGGTGGAATCCTTTATTTTCAAACTAATGTCATCTTTAGAATCCAGTATATTCCATGGAGTTCTAACTTAGCTTTAAATTTACCGTAAATACGAAGGATTTTGATTTTTATAGCCTAGGAAAGCTAGTATATTTTACAGAAAGCCATTTTTAGCGAAAAACATCCGGGATTCAAATTAGTAAAATATACTTTTTCTAACTGCTGTCGTCTTTAAAATTTATATTGTCCATGGAGAACTAAGTTAGCTTTGGAATATTTACCACCAAGGACTATTTTAGCCGTGGACATACAGGCTTCGGGTAAATAAAATCCTTTATTTCAAACTCTTTTATCCTTTGGAATACCATATATTTCATGGAGAACTAAGTTAGCTTTGGATACCCAGAAATTTGACTTTTACAGTCTAGAAAAGTTAATATTTACCACCAAGGACTATTTTAGCCGTGGACATATAGGCTTCGGGTAAATAAAATCCTTTTTTTCAAACTCTTTTATCCTTTGGAATACCATATGTTCCATGGAGAACTAATTTAACTTTGGATATCCAGAATTTTGACTTTTTCGGTTATCTGGTAGCTTCGAATTCTCAGGATTTTGACTTTTATGGCTTCGGAAAGTTATCATTTTCCAGCAAGAGAACAGTTCCATCAAACATGGATATCCGGTAAATAGATGCTCTTTTTCTTACTGTTTTAGCCTTTGGAATTCAAATCTAATTGACCTATAGCACGATGTTACTATATGCATCTAGAAGTTTCTCTTTTCTCACTCTTCGTTTCTATGTTCCAATTGCTGTTTTTATTATTTATTTTTGTCTTTGTCTGTCACACCTTCGCTTTTTGTATTTGTCTTTCTCTTCTCTCCCACGTTTACTTGTAATCTGTCTTCGTCGATACTTCGTCTCTCTATCTATCTATCTACCTATCTCTCTCTCTCTCTCTCTATCTATCTATCTATCTGTCTCTCTACCTATCTACCGATCTATCTATTTATTTATCTATTTATCTTTCTCTATTTCTATTTCTCTCTATTTCTCTTTTTCTCTCTCTCTCTCNCTCTCTACCTATCTATCTATCTATCTATTTATTTATCTATCTATCTATCTCTATTTCTATTTTTTTCTCTCTCTCTATCTATCTATCTATTTATCTATCTATCTATTTATCTATCTATCTTTCTCTATTTATATTTCTCTCTCTTTCTCTTTTTTCTCTCTCTCTCTTTTTCTCTTTCCCACTCACTTACTCGTCCTCTCTCTCTCTCTCTCTCTCTCTCTCTCTCTCTCTCTCTCTCTCTCTCTCTAACTTTATTCATATCTCTGTTATACACTGCATTTATGTCTTTCTTTTTGTTACTCCTGCATACTTGTTGTCCCGCACTTACTAATGGATCTGTCAATCTTTCTTTTCTCAATTTTTGTTTCTCTCTTATATATATTCTTTCTATTATTTATCTTTGACTCTCTCTACTACTCCCTGTCTCTGTCTGACCTGTTCTCTTTTCTCACACTTTTTTTCGTTCTTTTTAATATTTATTTTCTGATTATGACTATCTTTTCACCGTTTGTCTGTCTCATTTTCACACTCAGGCAATCCTTTTGTGGAGGATCCAAAAAGGTTCACAATGAGCCCATTTATTAAAAAATTATGGAGTAAATGTTTCAAAAAGTACTATGAAGGTATGAAATATTATACAGCCGTGTCGAGAGGTCGTAGTTTTTTAAAAGTTTCACCACGATCGTGCGCAACTTTTGTACAAGTGGCTGAAACCATTGCGAAGACGGACCCCGTTAGGACAAATCAATAATCAACCCTCCCGTCGCCTCCCGAGGTCAAAACCTCCCTCGAAACCCGACATCAACAGACACAACAGGGCGAGCTTTTCAAGCTTTCCTCCGAGAAACTGGCCCGGAAATGATCCTCCGTCGGCTTCCGGGTCTCGTCTGCAAGTACAAGTTTGTCTCCCTTTCTTTCATATTCCTCCTGGCACTGGTCCTCTACTCTCTTCTGTCCTGGGGCGTCATCTGCACCAACTTGGAACCATGGGCGCACATCAACCAAATGGTGAGTCAGCCTTCAAAACGTGGATTTTCACAGAGATCTGATCAAATATTCTGATACAATTGACATTTTTCAATTTTATCCAATTTATGAGGGGGTGGGGAATTTAAATTGTAGCATCTGAAAGTCAGTGAACATATTATAAAAGAAAAATATTTCGCAGTCAGTGCTTCAAACTTTTTTCCATGTTTATTTATTTATTTTTGATTCCAAAATTATAAGGATAAAATATAATCGCTTCTAAACATTGTAACCACTTTTTGTGTCGGTTGGTAGGTCAGTTCTGATTTTGCAAAATCTCCCCCAATCACAGTCACTCTGAATCTGTCAGTCTGTCTCCCTCCTTTTCTCACTCTCTCTCTCTCTCTCTCTCTCCCCCTCTTTCTACACTCTCTCCTTCTTTCTTTCTATTTGTTCGTCTTTCTCTCCTCACGCTCTCACTCTCACACTCAATCTCTCAGGTGTAAGAAAAGTCCAAGAGACCTAACTTCACGTGAATGAATAAATCTATCAAACTGAAACTCTCTCTCTCTCTCTCTCTCTCTCTCTCTCCCTCTCTCTCTCACTCTCTTTCTCCATCCTCTCTCTCACCCTTTCTCTCGATCTACGTTCTCCTCATTCCTTCTTTTATACTAGTCCGGCTCTCTCTCTCACTCTCTCTCTCTCTCTCTCTTTTTTTTTTCTTTTTCTTTCTTTTTTACTTTTTTTCAATACGTGTGTTGATTAGTGACCGTTAGTCGATGATTCTCAGAAATCGTGAGATGCGGTCTGGTGTGATGGTGGTTTCAGAAAAACATTTTCTTTATCGTGCCAACGTTTCGATCTTTATTGAGATCATCTTCAGGGCCTGGGATTTACAAACATGGTTTAAATTTAACAAAAACATATAGGATGTGTCTGTTTCTCTCTCTCTCTCCCTCTCTCTCTCCCCTCTATCTCACTCTTTTCGTGTTTAAAATTATGACCTATTGTGTATTGGTCTGCCAGTTTGTCTTTCTGTTTCTTTGTCTGTCTGTCTGTCTGTTTCTCTCTCTCCCTCTTTCTGCACTCTAATTTTTTCTTTCTATTTGTTCTTCTCTCTCTCTCTCTCTCACTCACTCTCTCTCTTTCTCATTTCTCAATGCAAACTTACAAAAGGACAAGGCAACCAAACAGCGCACAGACTAACCACTAAAAACAGCTAATGATTTAAACGGTCTGACTTGCAAAACCAGGGAAAATAGGTTCGACCATGAATTGAGTACGACCAAACTTTTCATTTCATACAATACATAACAACATTTCATAACTTGAAAGAAAATTATGCCAATATGCATACTTGTTTGTTCTTAGACGGTGCTGTCAGCTGTAACTGACGAACTAGATGTGCCAGTATCAAAGTTGATAGTTTATTTCTCGTACTGACTAATAGATTTTTCCCTTTTTCTGCATTTTAAACAAATTTCCTAACTTGTGAGCTTTCTTCACCTTGGTCATTATCAAATTTCAAAAAGTTTGATCATTATAAGTACTATTTGGAAATCGTGAGATGCGGTCTGGTGTGATGTACGTTTCTGAAAAACATTTTCTTTATCGTGCTACGTTTCGACCTTTATCGAGGTCATCTTCAGGGCCTGAGATTTACAAACACTGTTTACATTTAACAAATACATGTAGGATGTGGAAAAAAGTGAATTTGCATTGTATAATTGTAAACAATTAATTAAGGTTTTTAGTTGAGATAAAAAAGTCAATGGCACGAGCGGGATTCGAACCCACGATCTTCGGCTAGACACGCCGCTGCTCTACCACTTGAGCTATCGTGACCTCGATCCAATCGGACACTAAGTTCCACTGAAAGGCAAAAAGGAGGGAAAATTCAAAAGGTGGGGTTGAGATGGGAAGTTAGTGTCCGAGTGGATCGAGATCACGATAGCTCAAGTGGTAGAGCAGCGGCGTATCTAGATCGTGGGTTCGAATCCCGCTCGTGCCATTGACTTCTTTATCTCAACTAAAAACCTTAATTAATTGTAATATATTAATTGGTCAAACGGACCACGAAATTAGTGAATTTAATTTAAACAATGTTTGTAAATCCTAGGCCCTGAAGATGATCTCGATAAAGTCGAAACGTAGCAAGATAAAGAAAATGTTTTTCTGAAATCTACGTCACACCAGACCATGTTCATATTTGGAAATGTACTAAAAAGTGTGTGGTGATTAGTGACCGTTAGTCGATGATTATTCAGAAATCGTGAGATGCGGTCTGGGGTGATGTAGGTTTCAGAAAAACGTTTTCTTTATCGTGCCAACGTTTCGATCTTTATTGAGATCATCTTCAGTGCTCAAAGTGTTTCTTCTCTGCGTAAGTGTGCCATTGTTGCGTGACGTGTTGAGAGTGCCTGGAGCCCTGAAGATGATCTCAATAAAGATCGAAACGTTGGCACGAAAAAGAAAATGTTTTTCTGAAACATACGTCACACGAGACCGCATCCCGCGATTTTCGAATAATCATCGACTAACGGTCACTAACCACCACACATTATAAGTACTTTTAGACAAAATACTCTTTTGGTTTTTTGTACTTTATAACGATAGAAAGAAAGAACCAAAATAGCTTTTCGGTCTGAGAAAGAGAGAGAGAGAGAGAGAGAGAGAGAGAGAGAGAGAGCGCGAAGAGAGAAAGACGAACAAACCGAAAGAATGATAGGCAAAATTTTTGCTCTTTTTGACTCTTTTGAAACGGCCTTAACGATGGTAATGATCTCGAGAGATCGTGGTTGAATTTATCTTTCCAGGCTAAAATAATATGCAAATCTTTAATAAGGTTACCTCGAAAACCCGTTAACTCTGAACATGACGAGGTTAACGACTCTGGTATAAATAATAGCAGCTAAGTCCTAAACGTCAAGGAGAATTGAACCGACTTAATGTTAAGTGTATTGTCATTATAATTTAATATCAATAAATCTTACGACGTACGAAGAAAGTAAAAATATGTTTAAACGATTATAATTGCTCAAATGAACTCAAGCTAAAATTCTACAAAAATATCCGTGTATGTATTTACAATAACATATAATGAGGTTCCATCGCAAAGAGGTACAAACTTCAAAAGAAATATTAAAATATCCAAACTTTCAACATTTCACTATGTATTTTACATTCACTTATTTGTTTGATTTTTAATTATTTTGTTTTATTCAGTTGTTCAATCGAAATAAAAACACAATCGAATCAAAAAACAAACACAGACAGTCTCACGAACACACGAACAAGCACATACACTTACCAAATACAAAGAAACAAATAAGCATACACATCGGAACTCGAGTTGGTACAAGCAAATAAATAGATACCAAAAAAAAAATTAAATTACCCATCTCAATAATAAACACACTCCCCTATAAAAATATCTCCTGTAAATTACGATATTTTTAGTGTTTGACCTTAACCCACGTTTTGTTTATGTTTATAGTAATATTTGTCAGATGAGAGACACTTGGGACTAATTATATCGTTATTAATTACTGTTTACCAGTAAAAGAGGGGTCAAAGTTGTTCATGGTTTATTTCAACGTTTCGGTTCTTCAGCTCCAAGGGTCATAAAAAGGTAAAGAGGACTGTGAATCGCTCGAGGCGACCAGGACATCCCAGAACCACCAATCCCATTTTATTAAAATGCAATTTAACAGCTTCCGGTATTTAAAACATGATCGATGTTATTTAAGACATGTCAGTCTTGAAGTGAACTGTTAGAAAACTTAGAAAGTCTTTTGCGAGATTTGCGAGGGAAACCAACACGAACTATATGGACAAACTGATAAGACGAGACCAGAGTCTGGAGAAGACCTGGAGAACGATACAGTCAATGCTGCACATGGAAGTGATTTTTGAAGGTCTATCATATTCTGTACAGGCACTGATCCATCCAATAGTGCCTTGAAGACCGCAGGTGTCGCACGTCCGGGTGGAGTTGGGTTGATTTCTGCTAGTGTTGTTTCTATCCATCGAAGACACTGTGGAGGATTCGAATAAAAGTTTTATTTTTCCACTTGTAACAATACAGACCTTCGGGCAATTGAGACACAATAGTTCAATTGATTCTTGAGAAACAAGGTAGATTTGTGAAGATGTTCCTACGAGATTATGTAGTGTCTTTTATGTCCTAAGGCGTATTCATGATAATGCTTGACAATAAGGCAATAATCTGGGCATCAGACCACCTATCTAAGCCCTTGTGGCCAAGAAATCCGGACCATTTGGGACAAACACAAAAGTAAGGTTCTTTCACGTGATCAACCCACTACTGGCTACAACTTTTGAAATACTTGAGCTGTCTGTATTGGATGAGTGTGACAACATGCCCAAAGATTTTCTTCAAAAACCCCCTGCCAAAAGGGTAGTAGTAAGTCATAAAAGCCTGTTGGCTGAACATGGCAGCAGAGGAAGCATAGTTCTAAAACGCTCTTTGAAAAAGTTAGAAAAAGTAGTGAAAAGCAGTAAAACCTAAAAACGGAATTCAGTGAAGATATTAAAACTTATTCTTGATCTTACGGGGTTGTTTAAAAAAATAGAAAATCAGATTATCGCCCTATAAAGAGGTACGTACAACGCCGTACTCCTGAGGCAGCTGACTTCACCCGACTGCCGCAGTCAAAGTATTATTGTCAAACAAAATTTGGATATTTTTTCATGCGAGTATTATTTAGAAGTCAAAGCCCTAATCAAACCAAAGAATAAAAATGCAAAACAATTTATTATTGAATTGGATCCTACCTCAAAGAATAAAATAATGAAGGCGAAAGGAATAAAAGTGCACTAGTCATAACAGAGACTGAAAAAATGATGGTACAGGATTTCGATAAAAAATCACCACGGTTCTTGACCATTGTGACTTAAAAATAATTATCATAGGATGGATGCCAATTCTCACTGATGAGTGGTTCGAACATAACTGACGAAAGAGTAATAAGTCTGGAGGTCTGTGAAAAATGGCTGTTTGTCATGAATGAAGTTTACCTAAATTTAGTACAAAGAAAGACAATAATAATATTTTAACAAAGAAACAACATAAAAACTAGAAAAAACAACGCAGAAATATACACCTCACAACAAGCAACCATCATTGTTGTCATCGTCTTGTGGACGTCATTTCATTCTTTCTTGAGTAGAGCAGTGTTGTACGGGTGTCTTTCTTGATATTGCTCAAGCCTTTGACAGTGTTTTGCACCCGGGCCTTCGTTGGAAGCTGAAGGCCGTACAACCCAGTACAGTAGTACCTTATTCTAAAATCGTACCTGTCTGACCATTACTTCACATTTAGTCAGGGCTTAGCGATATCCAAGCTGGCGTCCCACAAGGGAACATTCTTGGCTCTCCCTTTACAAGATATATACTCTGATATTCCTATCCTTCCAGAAACAATACTCTCCCTTTTGCTGACGATATAGCAATATTGTCCTCGCATTCTTCAAAACCATTTGCCCGACGTTTTGCCCAAAACGTGGAGAATAAATGCAAGGAAGAGTCAATAAATTAACTTCTCACTGCGACGAATAACACAACCACCTGTTTACTTTAACGGGATTTCGCTACCTCCATCGAACACGTACATTACTTGGGACTTCACCTGGAAAACGACTTCCTTGGAATCCGCACACAAGACTAGAACGAAACGAACTAAACCGACATTACATACTTACTGTTATCACCATTATTCGACAGACGATCCAAACTTCCACTTACTTACAAAATTTAATATACACCATGGTTCTCAAACCTATGTGGACTTACGGTATCGAACTCTGGCGGTCAACCAAGCATTCCGATTCTAACGCTTCCAAAGATTCCAATCAAAAGTCCTAAGAAGAATTAACCGTCCTTATTATGATGTTTGTTGATCGACCTGCAGATAATCTATGTGGAGTTTCAATCTTCATGGAGGTCATTAGACAGGTGAAGAAAGGAAAAGACTAATTGTTGGGTTCACCCCTTATGGTCCCATCATCAGGGCTTTCCCAAAAAGTGCAGAAAACGATTAACATGGTAAAACTATTGTAAAAACGTCTTGGGTTTAAGGTTATGACTGGCTGGCCATGTGCTTCATAACCTTAATCCCAAGACTTTTTACAATAGTTTTACCATGTTAATCGATTTCTGCACTCTTGGGAAAGCACTGATGATGGCACTGTAAGTTGCCGAAAGCTTGGTGCACCCAGCAATTAGTCTTTTCCTTTCTTCACCTGTCTAATGACCTCCATGAAGATTGAACCTCCTTATTATGTATCAAGACCTACACCAAGCCCTTAATATTCCCTTTTTCCCAGAAGTAGCGAAGCCCTATTACAAAAACTTTTATCGATCCCTTTCCACACATCCCAATGCCCTGGTGTGTCAGCTCAGTTCCAGTACCATCCCAGACAATCCTCCGCGTCGACTGGGGACGCCGATGGTCACGTGATGCCCCCCTGATGAAGACACTTGAAAAAGTGGTCATTATTTATTTCTTGTAAAGGAGACTGACAACAACTGGGCGATTTCTCCTAACATGTTTTTCATGTCAATTTTATTCTTACAGCACTTTTACTGTTGTAATTGTTTTACACATGTAAAAATCAATAAATATTAAAAAACAACATGCACTACTTACTTACGAAGTCCAAAGTGAAATAAAATATGATAGCTATCAATTACCACATAAAATATAAAGCATCCCTAACTATAAAGCATAGAAAGCCAACTGGGACATATTAAAAAAAATTTATCCACAAAAATATTGAATCACTTAAGCAAAAGTAATTAAAAAATAGAAAAAGTCAAAAACACAAAATCTGGATCTGGTCTATGCAATAAACATAAAAAATACCCTGATCTAAATAAAACTCTCGTAAGATTCGCCCTGCGAGAAAATTAGTCCCAAGTATCTTAGGAATCCGCACAAGTACTTAAAGAAAACGGTACCTTGGTGGAACAAATTATGAAAATGAGGACAAAATTTCAAACTAAAGTACATAATGAGAATTTGAGGGAAAAGAGGATTTAATCTAGCATACAAAAAAAAACCTATGGAATGAAATCGTAGCAGCGACAGTCAATGACCTGATACTTCTGAGTAGAAGGATTGAGTCTATTGCACTGAACTAAGACTCGAGGAAGGTGCAAAAGCCAGAAAGCTGCAGTGCCCGGGGAGCACAAACCCCGTAACCTAGTATTCTCACCACCACCACCACCCAAGTATCACCCTATTAGCCAGGATTATTGAAAAGTTATTGGATGGAATAATGCACTACTGCTATAAAAACAAATTTCTAGCTGACAATCAATTCAGGACGATTTTGTTTGAAGATCGCTGAACCATGGATATCCCGCTCCATGAAAAGAAAGAGTTACAGTACTTTACTATGGAAGGGAAAAGTGGAAGAGGGTCAGAATACCCAAAAGATCTGCAAGAACTACCATACAGTTGGCAATATCCTTCTTACATCCCCCAATTACAGGCTGATGCTCGTAAATATATTCACATGGAAGCAAAACCGAAGGCAACGTTGGCTGTCCATTTGTAGCCTATGTGAGAGAACACATGAAAAATCCTCTAAGAAAAGATTCAAGTTTATCACTTGGTGCTCAAACAACCAACAGAACCACTTACCCTTTAATCAGACAAAAAATGAAAAAGAAAGCAGCGACAATATGGAAGGATAGCATGGTCACATTGCAAGGTATAGAAAATAGTAATAGAAGCGAAAATAAAATTGACTTTGAAAAGCTGTAAAGAGACACCAATTACAATAAGCAACGTATTAATAGCAGAAATTAGATCAACATATAGATGCAATTTAATTAATAATATTAATCATTATTGTCAACAAACAATGATTGTAAGCGCAGTACCTGCAATCATTAAGGGGGTTACTGGGAGAATGCAAAGGTCATAAAAGCTACTTGTTATTAAATGCCACATTAATTAGACATTTTATTTTTTTTAAATCCAATTAAAATTATTCAACTTATCTTATTATCTTCCCTTGCAACACGCTACAATCCAATTGCAATTACTTTTGTAAATTAAATCGTAATATCTTTTAACTGATAATAATTGCTATAGATAAACAGAATTTGAACAATACTGAAACAAATTCAATCATATATATTTGTACCAACCATTTATATAGTTATTAAATATTCATATAGAATTTTTTTTCCATTTTTGTTAGGTTTCTAAAGTTTGGGGTACCTGCAGGTTTAGTTAGTTCTCTGGATCACTGAGAACTAATCAGACATATTGTTGTTTATTAGATTCTGTTTTAGTAGGAAAGTACGTAAAAAACAAAGTGGATGAAGTTGTTGAATGGTTAACATCTAGTTGTTGATTGGTTTTATGAGATTGTATTTTACTGATCATTTTGGTCTATCTGAGTTGTTCAGTCAGCGCGTTTCAGCATTTCACCGTATTCATGATTGGGTCTGTGCAATTTCTGTGAATTCAAGTCTCTTTTATAAAGTTGTGAGGGGTGGGGTGTATTGGATATCTTCAGTTTGGAAAATAAATGATATGCCTTCGAAGAGATTTGATGTTTTGACCTCAACCCACCACTACAAGCCCCATTAAGACTCCACTTTTGTTTGTTCTTAGTTCCTAGATGTTAGTCCTAAGATTTAGCACGCTTGATTGCTATTTTGGTATGATGGTCGTGACTGCTGAATGGTGCAAGTTTGTTTACTGTTTTGAGTCTCACATTGGATACATATATGACAACTTTTTCCAGATTTTATTGCCTGGTTCAAACCTCGATCACTTTGATTAATTACTGTTTCAGTGTGAGGATTTCAGAAAGAGGGAGTCTTTTGGCGACCTATGCCACGCCCTCTGCGCAGAGAAGGGAATCGAATCACTTTCATGCCACCCATTCCATGCTGGAAAAGAGATTGTCTTTTCAGCAACTCTACGAGGTGGCAATAAAGTGTTTGTCAAGTCTTCAAATCGAGGAGGTGAACCTGCAGAAGTGAGTACATGATTTTCTGCAAAATACTTTATATAATCATCTTTCAAACTTTCAGGTCTTCCATTGGGTTGATTCTGAAGGCAAGGAACACTACCCGTCCGAAGAGCAATTTACAATGATGGTGTCCGATGCTGTGAGATTAAGGTAAGTAATGTTAGATTAGTTAATCTCTTTTAAAATAATGTTCTAATAATTTTGTAAATGATGATGTCTGCCGTAGGCATGTAGCCTGATTGTCTCCTATAATCCAGGATATTACCACGGATTTTCTCTGACTAGTTGACAATTTGACACAATATTTATGAAAGTTATGAGTTGAGATTAAAAAAAGTCAGTGTCACGAGCGGGATTCGAACCCACGACCTTCGGCTTGATACGCCGTTGCTCTACCACTTGAGCTATCGTGACCTCGATCCACTCGGACACTAACTTCCCATCTCAACCCCACCTTTTGAATTTTCCCTCCTTTTTGCCATTTTTCAAATGTCGTGTAATCTATTTGATTCTCGGCGACAAATGAAATGACAGAGCTTTCATGAAGATATACTTCAGTTTAATTATTAAATCCATTACAGTTCGTGGTCTGATTGACCAATTAATATTTTTAAAAAATTAACATTAACCGAAACAATAATATGCCTCTAGAATGATTCATAAATTTATGAGACAATAACGCAAATGCATTCTTTGAATAATAGAATCAATTCTCAAATCAAATGAAACAAAATAATAAGCCTTATTGCTTTACAGAGGTAACATGATTTTTCTTTTTCTTATTCATTTTATAATTTCTCAGGTTAAATATCTCCATTGACAAAGAAGATGCCAAAAGGCTGGCACATTTTCCTGGTGGTCAAACCACATCTAATCACGACTCTGAACTACGGTACATGGAAATGCGCGAGGTCTGGGCGCTCTTGCAACACCAAGGGTACCTCATGTCCATGGTACACGCAGAAAAAGAGTTTTTCCCTGAACTTGTCGGCTCTTGTGGACAGTATTTTGCCACGGAATACCTTAGCCCTGCATTGGGCACAACCGTCGTATCTGTAAGTCTCACTTGCATGGGGGGGTTAAAAAAAATACATTTTTTTTTCTTTTTACTCTAAAGGGCGATTCTTCCAAATTTGAGTCCTGGGCAAGCCGTGTCCACCTGGCAGTGAGCATTATTGAGCTGATTGAACAGATGGACCTTGAGAACATTATCCTCTGCGACATGAAACTAACGCACTTTGGCATCAATTCAAACGGAAAGCTCAAAGTAAGACGTAAGTTATATAAAAGAAACAAAAGCCTTTTTTATTGATGTGTTGGCATGTCATCTTAAAGTAAAGAACACAAACAATTAACAATTACTTGTTTATGCTTCAAAACACAAGAAATACCCTAAAAGGCTATCATTACACTGCCTCTTCAAATAATCAAAATATTTTTAATGTACACTGAGACGCAAAAAAAAATTGGTCAGCCTTGTTTTTTATTCATAGAGGTTGCGGTGATACATCACTCTCCTCCAAACCCTCTCTTGGCCATCAGAAAACCTCAAGCAAAGCTTTGACTCATCCAAAAATATTTTAGTTCAATCTTGCTCGGCACTCGATGGAATTTCTTGCAAAACTTAACCGAGTTGTTCTGATGAGCATTGTCAGAAGTTCTGGACCATTGCCAGGCCTTCTTGCACTTAATCCAGCTTCTGAAAGCCTTCACCTTACAGGGCGTAAACTGACGCAACCATTTCTAACTTGTTGAAGTCATTGCTTGATCTCAACAGCATTAGAAGATCGATAACGGAGTACATTGGAAACAATAAAACAATCATTTCTCTGGGATGTGACCGGATGGCTACCTGATCCATGCTTTCTTGAGTAACCTCTAGTATGTTGGTAGCGATGAAAAACCCTTTGGACAGTTTTTCTCGAAATGTTAAGCACCGTGGCCACATATGCTTTATGCTTGACTTCTTCCATCTTCCAACAATGCTAAGATTCTAGCTGAATATTTATCAATACCACCAGAACATTAGAAAGAAGTTGAAGTCTTGAGGAGCGGTCAAGAATGAGGTAGTTTAGAAAAACACCTTTTTAATTTTTTTTTGTAGCCGTTTCAACCTTTATTCAGCTCATCTTCAGGGCATAAAGTGTAGTGATATTCTAGCGGTGTCATATTGGATTTTTATGTCACACTTTCTCACAAAACCAATATGACACCACAAGAATAGCACCACACTTTATGCCCTGAAGATGACCCGAATAAAGGTTGAAACGTTTGCAAAAAAAAATTAAAAACGTGTTTTTCTAAACTATCTCATCCTTGACCACTCCTCACGACTTCAAAAAATTATGAAACAATAGGTCACTAAGAAACACACATTAGAAAAAGCTGTACAGAAAAACCAAGAAAGAAGAGTTTGACTATTTAAGATTTATTTTCAAAATCCAATTGTAACACAAGAGGGAGATTTTATCTGTGTTTTATTTACCTCAAATCCTTTAAAACGGACCAAATATTGTTGTAAGATAATCAACGTATGATTATCTAAGAGTTAATTAAAAATATTAAGGGTATCAGCATTTTTTGCTTCTCAGTGTGTTCATGACTTAAAAAGAAACAAGAAAATACCGTTGCCCTTTAGTTTTTAGACCTGAGTGTCGCCTTGCCTAAAACGATAGCAGATGCGATGACCTCCAATGGAAAGCCATGTGCTGAAGACAGCGACTGTTATTTCCATGACTGCAAGTCAGTTTGCAGCAAGGACAGTAAAGTATGCGAATCTCCCATTACAAACACTAACCTCCAGGTGAGAATTATTTAAAGTGAAAACTATTCATGACTTTTGTGTCGCTAAGCAATTTTGTTTTTAAGTATTGTTTTTGGGTTAGCTTAACTTATATTCAACCATGGTTATCATCTTTAAGGTCTTTAGTTCATCACCATGGCCAATATGGTCAATAGCCAGTGGATTTCCAGCCAGGAATCTTCAAGATCTTCAAAGAATTTAGAATTCTTAGTGGAATTATTTTAGAAAGATCTTAATGATATTAAAAAATCCAAAGCTTTATTCTCCTACAGTTTCCAATCTGTTCTTTCTCATGATTTAAGAAGTCTGAAGACTATTTTATTTAGGCGGTATAAATTAATTAAATTTATAGATGGTATGTGAGAAGATATTACTCGGTTGGGCCCTCCCAGGCAGGCTTATCCTCCCAGGGCTGCTCATGACTTCTCAGACGCCGCAAAGCCTTGTATCATTGCTGAGGCAGTGCGCGCAAGTCATTCACGGCCAACATCCCGAAGAGCGAGAGGTATGATTCAAAACAGATCTTAGAAAAATTGCAATGTCTATGCGTAAATGTTTTCAGGTCGCAAAGCACGTAGCGCAACGGTTGACAGACACGCTCACTGAGCTTGACAACTCCTTGGAAGGATTCCGCAGTTAGCTGCAAGATTTAAAGCATGTTGAGATTTAAAATGGACCAAAAAAAAAGTGTTTTCTCATGTTGAACAAATGCGTTTAACAGTAGAGGTGGAAGAATTTCAGTATTAAACATCCCTCCACAAGGCAAAATTTTGGTTTTTTCATCATTAAACTCTCTCTAAAAAAGAAAATTAAAATGAATGAGAGAGATATTAACTTTAAAGCTCATTTTAATAGTTACATTACATCATTATTAATAGGGAGAATAAAAATCATTAGATTTTTACATAAAATTTAAAATAATTGTTAAAGCTTTAAAACGAAGAATTATTAGCTCAATTATTGATTAAAAAAATCCAAAACAGATTTTTAAATGTTAAACAATTAACATTTGTTTAAGAAAATTATTAAATTTAGATTAACATTATTATTTATGTATAGTTAGAAGGTTGAAATTTCAAGTAAAAATGTAAACTCACACCCATTTTCTGCTTTTCACAAGACTGTAATTACTATAAAGAAGCAAGCCATTCAAATAATTTATCACAGCATATGCAGCTTAGTGTTAGCATCATTTGCAAGCCTTATTGTATGATAGATTTTTTTTAAATCGATGGTTTCATCATTAGTCACTTTTTTCTTAGAGACTGAAATGTTTATGTTAAATTGCCAAATCTCTTAGCGTGTCTTTTCTAGTCTGTGATATTAATTTTGTATTTTTGTGTTTTGTTTGTACAACTATTATGTAATATATATTTCTATAATTTTTTGGAAATTGTAGAATTGTTAATAAAATAATGCTTTCTATTCTATATAATAATAATAATTGCGTTGACTTATTTCCTGATGAGACTTGTTTAAATTTTCCCGACACACTTCTATTTTGGCTATATTTACAAGAACTAAAGACTCGCCAGTTGCCAAAAGAAAGTAAAAAGGAATTTCAGCACGCAGCACCTAAAACATTATAATAAAATAATCAACAGACATGCTAGAAATATGAAAAAAGAAGGAAAAATCGAATTTTTCTGGATAAATAATGGCAGAATTCTTGCAAGGAAAGCTCAAGGTGAAAAAGTAATAAAGTCAACTTTGGATTTGAAAATCTTTCATGAAAATCAAAAATAGCAATTCAGCTATTCATTTTCAAGACAGAAAAATGTTTTCATTATTTGTTAATCTAATTATTTTATGTTGAAAGGTGGTGAAATAATATAAAATTTTTGTTCTCTGTATTTCTCTTTGACTTATCAAGTCTTTTATCTGTGTAACGCTTATCCTCAATGTTATTTTGGTTTTGTTTTTAAATAAACAAGAAAGATGGTTGTATAAAAGCTACGTTGTCTCACCAATTTCTTACCACGTCAGGTGTACTTCATGGCTCTTGTTTGAGACCATTTCTTTTCAATTTATTTATCAACTCACTAGTTTTTAGTTGAGATAAAAAAGTCAGTGACACAAGCAGGATTCGAACCCACGACCTTCGGCTTGATACGCCGCTACTCTACCACTTGAGCTATTGTGATTTCGATCCACTTGAGCACTAACTTCCCATTTCAACCCCACCTTTGAATTTTCCCTCCTTTTTGCTTTTTTCAAATGTCGTGTAATCTATTTGACTCTCGGCGACAAATGAAATGGCCACGGAGAGCTTTAGTGAAGATATATTTCATTTTAACTTATTCAATTCACTAGTTTTCGTGGTCCGCTTGACCAATTAATATCATTCAATTAATTTAGTTGAGATAAAAAAGTCAATGTCATGAGCTGGATTCGAATTTTGAATTTTCCCTCCTTTGGTGTCCGAGTGGGTCGAAGTCACGATAGCTCAAGTGGTAGAGTAACGGCGTATCAAGCCGAAGGTTGTGGGTTCGAATCCTGCTCGTGCCATTGACTTTTTTATCTCAACTAAAAACCTTAATTAATTGAAAAATATTTATCAACGATATTTCTGCATTTTAAAGCATTAGTTTCCCCTATTCACTTTTTGTGCATGCTGGACTGAACTTAAAGATTTGTTGTTTTCAACTATCCGGATTTCAAGCATTAAACGCTCATCATCAGTCTGAAGGAATAACAAACACATTTCTCGACATGAATTATAAGGGTGAACCCGCCAATTCCCCTTCTTAGTAAATACTGTAAAAAAATTTAATTGACAATTAATTTTTACGTCAAATATTACTTAGGCACATGTTTAAAATAGGGGGGGGGGGGTAAATCAAAATCTATTGTATTACGCATTTATCTCTGTTTGATTTTACATTTTTTTAGTTAAAATTTCTCAACCAATCTAGTCCCCTCCCTTTGTTAAAACTGTGTAACACTGTTGAATTTAAATTGTGTTTTGTTTTATTTAGAGAAAATTAAATTCAGTAAATGTGTTCAATTTAGGCAAGTGTTCTTTTACTCTGCTGCTTTGTCCTGTATACACTTATGGACAAATTTAACATACCACTTAATTTAGTTACGTTAAAATTAATCCATTATTCAAATTGGAGGGAAAACTCATAAGGTGGTTGAGATAGGAAGTTGATGTCCGAGTGGATCGAGGTCACGATAGCTCAAGTGGTAGAGCAGCGGCATATCTAGCCGAAGATCGTGGGTTCGAATCCCTCTCGTGCCATTAACTTTTTTCATTTCAACTAAAAACCTTAATTAATTGTATTAATCCATTATCTTTCTATGTTAATTACAGGTAATTTGGAGTAATAAATAAACAGGAAATGCTTTTACTTACTTTCTATACTATTGTACTGATTAATCCCATTTGCACAATAAGTTGCATTATGCTACACATAAAATTGTTTTCAGTTAATCTTTTTCCTTTATTGATTTCATTTGATATTATGACTTGATCCTTTTTCAATGGCTACAGTCAGGCATTTGAGTGCGTCTGACAGTGTCAGGATTTTAACGTTATTGTGGAAGGAAACAACCAGCGCAAGGTCACTTGGATACAGGGTAAATCACTCTACGATACGAAGGGTTCTTTGGCGTTTCAGAAAACAGGGCTTCACACTAGATTGCCAGGTCAGGGTCAACCTAGGTCTACAGATGAGAGATGATATATTCATCCGTCATCCGTGCACCATAAGACATGTCGAATTTATTTAGGGCAGTAAGAAAGCGAGAAAATAATCCCTCAGCCCAGCATCCAGCTCTTCGACCTTTCCTTTTGCTACCATATCTACCGGCCTACCCCAGATTTAAAAAAAAAAATGCGAGGAATTCTTTTTTCCGCTCAGCTTCCAGTTTGACCTGTTTTAAAATGAAAAAATAAATTTTGGTCAAAGCTATTGGGAATTAATAACAAGATATGTTCCACAATTCACACATATATTTTTTATTTAAGTAATTACAAGATAAAAACTTAATATAAATAATAATCAAAGAAGAAAATAGGAAAAATGAATATTATTTTAATACAACACTATTTATAAATTAATACCAGAGCAGCCTGGTAAAATTAGTCTTAAACTCTGTTTGGTATACATCTAAAAATTATTTATAGAGTAAGAATATAATGGAATAAAAAAAATAACAAAAAAAATCTTTTTAATACTTTAATTAAAATTTAATAAAATGCTAAAATTATTGATAAAACAATAGGTCAAAGTGTAAATTATTTTTTAAAGACTGTGTATAAAAAGAATTAAAAGTAAGTTAAAATATAAGTTGAGATTTTTTTGTTCTTTTTTAGGTTTAAAAATTAAGGCGGTTCTCAGATATTAATTCTTCCAGGCGTGTCATAACTCTGGACATATCAGCGTCTTTGGCTAATTTGACGTACGACTCGCCGTCTACATCGTACACTATGACCCAACCCGGTACTGACTCCTTGAGCAGGTCTAAATGTCTTTCTAACTCTTCTGTTTTCAGAGAAAAATAAACATAAATGATTAATTAAAAAATAAATAATATTAAGTTACAATATACGCACTGTTTGTCAGGTGTTCTCTGTAGCTGTTCTGCATCTTTTCCAAAACTGTATACTTAGACAGGATGTTCTTTCTCTCAAGGACGAACATATTCCTGATAATGCGTGCCATCTCAGGTAAACGAGTGAACTCAAGCCTGCGCTTCGTCTCCTCTGGAGATCTGGTGAGGAACTCGGCCGCTTTTGCCGCCTGTCTCGCACGCACCTACAAATTGGCACGTTGTATTTTCCATTTTATATTTATTAAAAATCTCCTGTTACCTTTTCTAAAAGAGACTTTGGTATTCCTTTCAAGGCGTTGGCCAAACCGGGTAAAGCTTGCGAGGCGGGCGTGATGCCGTTTTCTTTGTCTTTCTTCTCGCACAGCCTTTCCAATGCTTTGTCCATTCTTGTATTGATTCCTATCAGATCTCTAGCTCTTGCTAGAATTAAAAATAAAATAAAATAATAATAAAAACCATAAAAATAATCTTTCTGGATTTTTTTTAAGAGCTTACTTAAAACTTCTTTTGCAGAAGAGATCTTCTCATTATCTAGACACTGCGGCATCGTTGCGGAAGGAACGTCCGGGCAGTTGTCGATGTTGAACTCTGGATGCCAACGGGTCAACTTGTCCTTAGGAACAGTGAGCGGTGGGATTAAAGACTGTAAGTAGACTTCGTGGTGGTCTTTAACCAACTCCAGCAACGATTTGAAGAACTCGCGCTGTCTTTCGAGCAAAAGCGACGGTCCGAGGTGGTCTTTGCCATCTTTGAAAAGGGAGAGGAATACAAGTGTAAAAATTTGCAATGCCCGAGCGAATAAAAAAATTCAAAATACCTAAAATCGGGCTGATAACTAGTTCGTATTTTTCCCCCTGGTTCGAAAAAGTGTGCCTCTTCTCCCTTCTGAACGTATAGGAATTAGGAAGGACGCTCTTTATCTGGCCTAAAATATTCTCCGTCAAATTTCTAAAAAAGAATTTATTTAAAAATTTTAAACAATAAAAAAAAAATTACATTTGGCATGGCACGACTTACTTTTTCGACATCTGCTGAACTGATGCTTTGAGCTTTTCAAAAAATATTGTCTCCTTTCTGTTAAACATTATAGAAACAACAGTGTCCACTGACCTGAAAATAAAATAAACAATTTGTTTATTTAAATAAATTTAATGGTACTAAAAACTCAAGCAATAAATAAAAATAAAACTGTGCAAATTTGTTCAATTTTAAGGAATTAGATAATTTAAGTAAGATGTGAAGAATCTAAAAAGTTATATTCACTAATTTCGTGGCCCGCTTGACCAATTAAATCATTACAATTAATTAAGCTTTTTAGTTGAGATGAAAAAAGTTAATGGCACAAGAGGGATTCGAACCCACGACCTTCGGCTAGATACGCCGCTGCTCTACCACCGGAGCTATCGTGACCTCGATCCGCTCGGACATCAACTCCCCATCTCAACCCCACTCATAAGGAAAACTCATAAGGTGGGGTTGGGGAGTTGATGTCCGAGTGGATCGAGGTCACGATAGCTCAGGTGGTAGAGCAGCGGCGTATCTAGCCGAAGGTCGTGGGTTCGAATCCCTCTCGTGCCATTAACTTTTTTTCATCTCAACTAAAAACCTTAATTAATTGTAATCTAAAAAGTGATGAACCTGAAGTCTAATCATCTACCGTCATCGTCGTAAGAATATTCTCACTTATTATTAACCTGTCAAAACAGATATCGGCAAGTCTTCAAATTCATGGTTAGTTTGGTATGCCACAATATTTTATATGTAGAGTGACTGAGGTTCATCTAATGTCCCAGGATAAACCAACATAAAAAAATAGAAAAATGGATAACCAAAACAATCCTTCACCACCTCTGTCAAAGAAGAGAAAGGAAGAGAGTGGTCAAGAAAGAGAGAAAAAGAAAGAAAGAAAGAGAGAGAGACGAGAGAGAGAGAGATTTTGGGGGGCGAACAAATCTGCCAAGGCCACAATTCCAAAGATAGTGACCCCATAGTAGTGACCGAGTTCAGTGGTTTCTGCAAGTAGAACAACCTTATATGTTAGCAGACTTTCAGTTGAACCTGAACATTTTGCAGAGGGGCTTCCAGTAGCAATGTCGCTGATCTCGACTTCACAGAAGCAGGGTAGCGGGTGGAAGGGCATGTTCTTGTGCTGTTGTTATACTACTAAAAGAAGTCTCAGTAGACAGCAAGGATATAGCCTTGACTGGAGATGTTGCCAATGAAGCGGCACTTCTTGTTGATGTAAGTGCCTCCAGGGCATTGAAAATCAGGCTGTATTTGACAGCTCCCATTTTCCAAAGAAGAGAAAGTAAGAGAGTGCTCTAATCATACAAAAATAAAAAATAGAAAGCCAAAAAGCTTCCTGGGCGAGATGTATGGCATTTTACCCTGTGGGTATTTTGAATGCGACTATGTGGCAAAATATTATTGTCTATTGCAAGGAAGGCCAACAGTGGTTTTCGCAAGTAGAAATCTAAAATCTATAACTTTGGAGATTTTTAGCGCGTTTTGGATTCCAAACATAATGGATATAGTCTCGGTGAAAGATGATCGTCCTGAGCATCATGTTCTTCCGCCTTCCTGTAAGGGTATGGCCACCCTTAAGGTTATTAAGCCGAGGCTGATATGAACTTGGTCCTCTTCATCCTGACCTTCTTGGCCAAGAGAGAGAGCAAAAATACTAAGACGGTATACCATAAACACAAACATGTATAAAAGACTATTGTGGCATCTACCAGCTCAGAAACTGCATCTGACAGGCAGAACCAGCAAGTAACCGTAGGCTCAGTCATTAGGGCAGTCGACTAAGCCTGAACCCAGGCATTTTATTTGCAAATAATCTGAACAAACTATTGTTAATTGGTTTGACACCCCGCTGGTGTTCGGGAATCGCTGGTGTAAATATATTTATGTAGAATAGACCTAAACCGTGAAAAACCAGCAAGAACAGGCCAGGAAGAACAAAGCTGTTCACATGTTTCCATTAATTTTAATGAACTTTTTCTAAAGTTGATTTTTCTATTGGATAATACAAATAAAAGTATTAATAAATTAGTAAAAAAAAACTTACCTAAATATTTCTGCCAAGAATTTGTATTTGTAAGGAAGGACAAGCGTCGGTTTTCCAGCACAAGCGAGATTGTAATAAGTCTGGAAAGCTGGAGATTTAGTCGGACTAGTGAGAGGGCTTTTCTGCGGGCTGTCAAAAAGCTTCCTGGGCGAGATGTACGGCATTTTACCCGGCGGGTATTTCGAAGGCGACTTGAACACCGCCGCCCTAAGCGTGCTTGGTGAAGACGCCACCCTGGTCTCATCCATAAAATTCTTCCCAGCGCTCGTCGGTACTTCAATCTCAATTTTCGTGAACTTCTTGAAAGTCGGTGAGTTTTGCAGGGCTTCCTTCTTAGCCTCGACCTCCCTGAGCTGTCCTTGGCTCTCGTTGACTTTTTTAAGCGCCTGCTTCAATTTTTCAAGCCGTGAACTTTTCAACAGCTTGTCCTTGACTTCGGAGAGCCTAAGCTCTTGCGTTTTCCCGTTCTTGACAAGCTCACTCTTTTTCACATCATTCTCCTCCTTAGCGAAAATTGATGCCGCCTTAGTTTTCTTTTTAGGGGAAGGCAGACCCCTCACTTGAAACGGGACTATGACATCTTTCTCAGGCTCCACCTGTTGAAATCATTGATTCACATTTACCAAAAAATTTACAAGTTAAAATTATCTAAATAAAACACTAGTAGATGATAAACTCCTTGACTTTCACAATGAAAACTCAATGGTTTTTATGCCATTTGTTTCTGGGGCAGCCTAAATTACGTAATATTGAAATCGCTAAGTGTGTCATCTCGGAAGTTACACAATTGTATATTACAGAATAAAATCACTGTGTCAAAGCTCATCCGTCAGTCAAATTTGCTCTTAGCTTCTACAAATAACTTAATGCTTTCTTATAAAAAATTATTACATTGGAACAAAAGCTAACAAATAATTTCGCTAATGACACAGATATCATGCCACCAACAAATTATAAATCATTTTGTGTTCTTTTATTTTTTAAAGTTTCAAGGTTTAGTGAGATATAGTATTTACTATTTGTTTGAAAGATCAACATGAAGAACAAATCAGCATTGCAATAAAGTATAAAGAAGCACATGCCAGATCGATGTAGTCAATCATTGAGATTTAGGTAAGATTCAGTTGATTTTTTTTTTTTCTAAATTTGCCAGTTACCATTGAAGAGATTTTAATATGACATTGATGTTAGTAATGTTTACACAAGCATGAGCTATTATTCTAAATAAAATAAGCAAGCCTGTTTTACATGTTGAGGTGGTTGGTATGTTGCACCAGTTGCTTACATTCTCGCTTATTTTTTTATGTTAATTATTGCATACATTGATTAAGCTGTAGAATAACAATAATAATTAATTAAAATAATTAATTTTGTATGGCATATCCTGCACTTTTAATAGAAGCCAAATTCATGTTGTCCAGTGAATCCAATGAATCAGGAGTGAATCCTAACATCAACGAGATTTTATTTTAAATCTTTGAGTTGACTAATTTTTGATGTTTCCAGTTTTTCAGGCATTGTTGAATTTTTTGTGACAGAGCGGTGTTCCTTTAGCAAGTACAGCTGTATATTGTTGTCTTTAAAAAATCTATTTTAGTGACAATTAATTAAGGTTTTTAGTTGAGATGAAAAAAAGTGAATGGCACGAGAGGGATTCGAACCCACGACCTTCGGCTAGATACGCCGCTGCTTTACCACCTGAGCTATCGTGACCTTGATCCACTCGGACATCAACTCCCCATCTCTACCCCACCTTATGAGTTTTCCCTCCTTTTGCCATTTTGATGTCTGAGTGGATCAAGGTCACGATAGCTCAAGTGGTAGAGCAGCGGCGAATCTAGCCGAAGGTCGTGGGCTCGAATCCCTCTCGTGCCATTAACTTTTTTTCATCTCAACTAAAAACCTTAATTAATTGATCAAGCGGACCACGAAAGTAGTGAATTAATCTATTTTAGGTTAATTTAAAAACTTGTTTTATTATGCTGGGCTGTGAAAGATTTAAGTGTGCATTTAATGAATGAAATAACAGTGTATTATAATTTTGCATAAAGCCAGTGTTACGAGTCTAGTACATAAAATTATGAATTTTGACATGTTTAGTTTGGGAAAGTATGCCTTACTTAACAAGTAAATTTTGCATTTTTGACTAGAACAACACAAAGCCAAACAATATATTCTTTATTGACATTCAAATAGATTAATTTGGATGCATATCATCCAGCTAAAGACACCATTTAAGAGAGAAGCTGAAATCACTAAGAAAGGAGCCAGACCAATATCGCTACTACCAACAGTGTCTAAACTGTTCGAAAAGTTATTATTAAAACGAATAGAACACGTCGTTGAAAAAAAGAAAATCATTCCTGACCACCAATTTGGATTCCGAGCAAGACACTCAACAATAGACCAAATTCACCGAGTAACGGATGTAATAGAAAAATCTCTCGAAGAAAAACAAATTTGTTCTGCTATCTTTCTTGATGTCTCACAAGCTTTTGACAAGGACTGGCAAGAAGGACTTATCAATAAACTAAAAGGTATGCTATCAAAGCAGTATATCGATATTATCAGTTCCTACCTAACTGACAGACTGTTTGAGTCAAACAAGAAGATCAATATTGAAAATTAAAAACAATAAATGCAGGAGTGCCACAAGGTAGCATATTAGGTCCACTGCTTTTCTTGTTATACACCAGTGATTTTCCGAAAATAGATGGATTAAAAATTGCAAAGTTTGCAGATGACACAGCGGTGATATCACTAGGACCGACTGTCACCCACTTAACCAAATTCCTCCAAAATGCATGTAATAAGGTAAACAAATGGACAAAAAAATGGAAAATCAAGCTAAATCAACATAAATCAGTTCATCTAATCTTTACAAACAAAAAGGTGGGTCATGTTCCGTCGCTCATAATCGATGGAACTACTATACCATACAGCAATACAGCTAAATATCTGGGAGTGACCTTAGATGCCAAGCTGAGATGGAAAGTACACGTGAAGAAAAAAAGGACAGAAATAGGTTTAAGGTATAGACAACTATACTGGTTGATAGGACGTGGCTCCAATCTTGCTATATAAAATAAAATATTATTATAGAAACATGTCATAAAGCCTATGTGGACATATGGTATCCAACTATGGGCTTGTACCAAACACAGCAATATCAAAATCATACGAACACTCCAAAATAAAATCTTACATAACATAGTCAATGCACCTTGGTACATAAGGACTTACACAGGGATCTTAAGATCCCTGAAGTCACGGCGGAAATACAAAGATTTGCCGCCAAACACCAGGCTCGCCTCAGCCAGCACGAGAATGTGGAAGCGACCAAACTCTTACATAACCGAAACATGGTCAGAAGATTAAAAAGAACAAAGCCATATGAAGTTAAAAAAGTGTGTAGTTAAAAATGAATAGTGAAATGTAAATCTTATTGTACCAATGGGTTTATAAGAATGTAAACATTTATTTATTGTATAATATTATTGTAAAATTAATGGTTGGTCTAATAAGACCTTCAAGGGTCTAAGGCTGCCTGTTCCTATGTCCGTTTCCGAACTTACACAGGAGAGGTCTAATAAGACCAGTTTTAATAAATAAATTTAAATAATTTTTAAAAAATCCTAAAAAAAACTAGATCAAGCCTTTGATTTTATTTTGCTTAGTTGGCCATCCCTAACCGGTTGATCTTTGGTCTGTAGGTTACTTAAGCGTCAGTAGGTTGAGGGATGTCCACTGCTTGTTCAGCAAATTTTTAAACTTTTTTTAATTAATTAATTATTAACCACTCACCTCGTTGTCTGCATTTTGAAACGAAGGAAGTAAAGATCTTCTTATGTCTCCATTCGTAGTCTCCGAAGAGTCTTTTCTCGCTATTCTCTTCGCAGTCCTCGGGGTCTTGCGTTGGAGCTTTGGCGCCTGGACGGACTTCGGGCCCGCGCTTTTCGGCGATTCCCTGTAAACGACGAGCTTTTCTGCAGCCGGCGAGTCCTGGTAGGCGGAAAGCGCATCGGACTTCGGCGACGCGCAGCATTCCGCGAAGTCCCCCGTCTCTTGCGGGACGCCCTCGAGCACGACCACCTTCGGGCTTCTGACTATCTCGTCAGCCGCCGGACGTTTCTTGCTGTTGAAATATTCCGCGATAGACGTCTGAAGAGCCATTGTCCTGTGAGAAATAAAATACGAACCGGGGAAATAAAATAAACTAGTTAAAATGAAGTTTTCAAGGCGACGTCTGAACTCGGACGCTCCTGGATTTCCTTTGTGGGTCGAGGCGGGAAAGCCGCCTTTTAACTAGGTCCCTCGACGTACCGTTATCTACCCGGTGATGACGTCACCGTTTGCCGTCCTCTTTCACCTCCCCACCAATTCACCAATTTAAGCCTGGACATAAAGATTAAAACAACAATAACGAAAGGATAAGATAAAGTAAACCACTCACGGGCGAAATAAAGAAAAAGGATCTTTATCTCAGGATAAATATGTATTTTTGCCATGTTTTAATTATTCTTTGGATCAACATGTCAAAACCGAAACCTTGGGGCTTAACTTTTCTCGTAATGGGTCGACTTCTGAGAGCTACACAATAAAATCATTATTTTCATTATTAAAAATATCGACCACTTTTTCACTCAAGAACACTCAGGAACAAGGTATGGTTTTGAAGAAGAAAGTAAATTCAGTTGTTACTGCCAAACTTTCGACCTAACATCAAACCTAGTAACATCAAAAGTGGAAACATACCCAGAAAGTTGCAGACAGTTTAAACTTCATGTCATTTTGGCCGATTGGCATAGGTTCAAAGGGCCCAGCTGGGGCCACCGAAAAAAATCAAAAATATTTCGTCCTTGGTATTTGAGATATTAACTTCTCTCATAACGGGTCAGCTTGACTTCTGAAACCTATGCAATAAAATCCTCGTTTTCAGTATTAAAAATATCGGCTACTTTTTCACCCATGAACACTCTGGATCAAGGTAAGGTTTTGAAGAATAAAGTAAATTCAGTAGTTACTGACAAGCTTTCTACCTATATTAATTTCATCATCAAGGCAAACCAATCTTAAGTATGTATACAGATTGTCATATTTAAGTTTTTTACAGGCGATCTCAAATTATCTTGAAGACCGACTCAGTCACATTGCCAATTGGATTAGTCTTTGGCAAAGTTGTGAGTGAGTCAGTCTTCAAGAAAATTTGAGTTATCCTGTTAAAAACAAATATGTCAATCTTTAGACATATTTAAGATTGATTTGCCCTGATGATGGTTTCAAAATAGGTCGAACGGTCGAAAAATGGGTACGAAGTACGCCCTGTAACAACTGAAGTTCCTTTTTTCTTCAAGACCATACCTCGATCAGAGAGTTCGTGAATAAAATCCTTAGCATCTGACTTTTCCCCACAGCCATAAATTTATCGGAAAACAATTTTTTTTATAGCTTAGCGTGTTCTTCAGCGGTTGAGTAACATTAAAAGCCACAATTGGAAAGAGACCCAGAAAATTGAAGACAGTTTAAACGTCGTGTCATTTTGGCTGATTGGCATAGGATCAAAGGGCCCAGCTGAGGCCACCGAAATCCGCAAAATTCAGCCTTTTTACTTTTTAGGACCCGCCAAAGCATAAAATCTCGTTTTCTTGTAAGTTTATGGCTTCATCTGAAAATTTGATGTAAACGATTTTATTCTGCAGGTCTCAAAAGTCAGACTGAGATCATTAAGAGAGATTTTAATGTCTGAAATACCAGGATCGTTATATATCGGGCTTTAACGAGTTTTGGAAAGTGCAAAAGTCTGTATTTTATGGATTTCGGTTGTTCCAGATGGGATTCTTAATTCTGAAGGTAAATTAGATTTCAAAGGCAGGCGATCGAATGTTTACACAGCCTGCGATGCCAAAATATGGGTAGTCAATAGGTCAAGGAATCCTTCTTACAGATTTCGAACTGCTGGCCCTGGGCAATACTTCAGGAAGTTCTCGTACATGTCAAATTGAACTAAAAAACTTGACTATTGTCAAAAGTCTGATTTTCATTTGTATTCGTGATATTTCACTTTCCAAGTTACTTCAACCTGTTACAACTTTATACCATAAAGTCCCTTGTTTCTCACAAAATCCTAATCCTACTGAAAATTTATTTGCAGCAATGTAAAGTCCATCAAAAACCCTATGAGTTTTCTTTTGTTTTTAAAATTGTAACAAAATAGGAAATACTGTAGTAAACTATGTCACGTACGGCTGTTATTATACACCATCTCACGAATTTTAAGAAGCAAGTGTCAGTCTATAACTTAAAACTCAAGGCATTAAAGAATCGAACAGAAGAATAAAATTTTCTTTTAAGCGCAGTCTTACTTTCATTATTCTTTGCGAAAACATGGTCAAATTAGTCGATACCAAAGCTTTACCTTTCTTCTTTCGATTTCTAAGTAGCGAATGTCAGTCTATAACTTAACAACTCTAAATATTGAAAAAAAGGAAAATAAGAGTAAAAATTTTAGATGGGGTTTTTGTTCTATTTTCATTATTAATAAAATACTTAACACCTAAAACATTGGATGAGAGTGCCTTGATGTAGGGATCCTGCATCTGATAGCCTCCAACACTGTGACAACCTCTTGGACCATATGCCCCTTTAAAGTTGGAGCGATTGGAAAAGAGCCATAAAGTGTAGAAAGATGAAGCTGCATAGATTTACTTTTGTTAACTTATGCAAAGTTTGTTTAAGTCCCACCAAGACGTCATTCTTTGAGCCGGGGTTCATAATTTCCTTTAGCTGCAGTTGGGTATAGACCACATCATCTGCACACATCACAGCGCGAACATCAATAACAGTTACAAACTATGGGGCTTACAATTGATCCCTGAGAAACCTTTTTGTCAATATGTGGAGATTTGAGTTAAATGTCTGGATATTATCACATTTGGATTCAACTGAAACATAGGTGTTTCTGTCAGATACGAATAACTTAATTTAGTCGCACTCTTCTTACTCCCGTACACTCGAACTTGTTCCATAAAAGTCCGAAGAACCGAACTTCAAAGGAAAGAGATGATACTTTTATCCTGAATCCAGAATAGTATAATCAAAGTGGCAGAAGTAACAGTCGTGTCGAAGTTTTAACGTAATTTTGATCTCTCGGATTCTAAGTAGCAAGCATCAATTACTTAACAACTTTAAACATTAAAAAATGAAGCAGAGGAATAAAATTTTGTTTTAAGCTCGGGTTTTCGTCCTATTTTAATTTTGGGGCTTTGAGGTTCTTTGAGCGCCAGAACAAAATCCTTTAAGAATCTTTAAAAAAAAATTAAATAATAAAAAATCCTCTGGAGTACAATACAAGACTGAGCCAACACAGAAAAACAACCCCAAGATTTAATTAAAATCAAACTATTCTTGTTATGAAACTCAAACGATACTTTATCGCAGAAGAACATAAGTCTCTGGGGAAAGTAAAGGAAATGTTGGTAAGAAGGAAAAGAAATTGTTTTGAAGTAAAAAATAATTCACTAGTTTCGTGGTCTTTCATATCTTTCAATTAATTAAGGTTTTGAATTGAGATAAAAAAAGTCAGTGTCATGAGCGGGATTCGAACCCACGACCTTCGGCTAGAAACGCCGCTGCTCTACCACTTGAGCTATTGTGACTTCGACCCACTCAGACACTAACTTCCCATCTCAACCCCACCTTTGAATTTTTCCTCCTTTTTGCCATTTTTCAAATGTCGTGTAATCAATTTGATTCTCGGCGACAAATGAAATAGCCACGAAGAGCTTTTGTGAAGTATACATCATTTTAACTTATTAAATTCACTAGTTTCGTGGTCCGCTTGACCAATTAATATCTTTCAATTAATTAAGGTTTTTAGTTGGGTATCCCGCTCGTGACACTGACTTTTTTATCTCAACTAAAAACCTTAATTAAGTAAAAAATAATCTGATTCGTTTCTAGTATCTAAGTATGAATGCTTACGTCCTTTGCTCTTAAGTCATAACGTGAATTTTCAAATTGTTTTTTCTTTGTTTCATTTCTGATCTTTAAGTATCTTTTAAATACTTAAAAAAAATATTGACAATTGATAACGCCCTTTTGTCAAGGCAGATATCAGATCGTTACTAGTCGTTATGGAATTAGGCCCTGTCTGGACGTACCTGGGGGTCAGATACGGAAATGAGAAAGTACAGGCTCTAAATCAAGTCGAGATTAGGCTTTCACAGTTAGCCTTAATTACGATTATTCTGGATGGCTAAAATTGCCTCCCTTAATTCAAAACAAATATATTTTTCAAACAGTTGGAATGTAAGAAGTTTCAGGTCCTGAAGAAAGAAAAGAGAGAAACACAGCATGATAAAGAGACATATCAACAGATCATTTTAAACACAGCCAGATTATAGAGAGTCAGACAATAGAGAACGAGAAAGTGAGAGAGAAAGAGAAAGATAAAGAGAAAGGGAGAGAGAGAGAAGTGAGTGAGAGTGTGTGAAAAGATAGATGGTGAGAGAAATGCAGGAATGGTTGATCTTTGGAAGTAAATGTGGATGTGAAATACAGTCAAATTGTCCTTCTTTCTGATGGAACTATATATAAAAAAAAGAACGGCTAATTATTTCAGTGATTCTTCGTACAAGGATACCAACAAAGATGCTTAGATGCCTTTTTAAGATTTCTGGAGGAACAAAGAACATTCGCATATCATTAGGATATTTTACGAAAACCCTTCCTAAACTATCTAAGAAAAGATAATAGATCATTTCAGAGTTGAAATACAATTGAAAAACAACCTAGGGCTAAACGTTCAGAAATTAACTTCTGCGACTATTTTGTTTTATTTTTATTTAATTTATTTTTTGAAAGTGTACATTCTCAAAACCTCATTTGTTACGTACAAACATAACTCATTTTGATAGAAGGAAACAATAAACCAGTGAAAAACTTGTAGGACGTGTTCAGCTTACATTATTAATTTCTTTAAAAACTACGGTCTTTAAGAAATATCGTTGGTATTTGTCTAAAACAAGAAATACAATTTTGTAAATAATTCCGCTAAAATGAAAAAAATTTGGAAAAGAGAATTTGGTTAATTACGTTGAAAAAGAAAGGGAGAGAAAGGCTCTCGTGCTTTCGGGTATTTCCACAGCCACTTAGCTACCTAATCCAGAGGTCAATTGAAAACATTTTTCTAAAATGGTGCAAATTTAATGTTACAATTTGCTAAACCTCGTGTCAAGACGAGAGAAAAAGAGTCAGAACGATTTTGTCAAATTTTTAACATTGACTTGATTACTAATAAAAGAAGAATAAAAGCGTGAAGGTTGGTTAGTTAGTCAAAGCAGTAATGGATTATTTATTATAAATTAAGACTTTCATGCTCAAAAATCAACAAGTCAATCTGGTTCAATTCCCAATGTTTGAAATTAAATCTAACAATTAATAAAGGTTTTTAGTTGAGATAAAAAGTCAGTGTCACGAACGGGATTCGAACCCACGATCTTCAGCTTGATACGCCGCTACTCTACGACTTGAGCTATCGTGACCTCGATCCATTCGGGCACTAACTTCCCATCTCAACCCCACCTTTTTGAATTTTCTCTCCTTTTTTTGCAATTTTATCTCAACTAAAACCTTTAATTAATTGAATGATATTAATTGGTCAAGCGGACCACGAAAAATACTGAATTTAAGGAATTGTGTTTTGTAATTTTCGAGCCTAAACTTGCTGTGTTTATCTGTTAGACGCTTATCAGCCTTCTTCAGCGTTGGGCCGCTATGATTTCTGTGAGGTCTTTTTTGAGGTCGTGAGGTGGTTGTTTTGATTTTAGGAGCCAGTGTTATTTTTTCTTATATATCTTTTTAGTAACTTTGAAACATATACCAAATCAGTATACTGACCCAGTTAACTAAAGCACAAACCGTCAAGGTACATCTTAGACCGCACAGTCAAACATCGCAAATTAACTGNAGAGAGAGAGAGAGAGAGAGAGAGAGAGAGAGAGAGAGAGAGAGAGAGAGAGAGAGAGAGAGAGAGAAGGGATAAAGAATAATAGATACGATAGAGAAATGTAGAGGTGGATATATAAATATATAAAGGGGGATATATAAAGAGGGAGAGAAAAAAAACAACAGAGAATAGGAGAGAATGAGAGAGAAAGAGAGAGAGAGAGAGAGAGAGAGAGAGAGAGAGAGAGAGAGAATGATGCATAAGATAGAGAAATATGTATAGAGGGAGAGAGATATGTATAAAGATGGAGAGAAGAACAGAGAAAAGAAAAGAAAAAAGGAAGAAAGGAAGACCATAAATGGATGCAATTTTATTCATATTCGCAGAACTTGAAGAGAGGGAGAGAAAAAGACAGAGAATAGGAGAGATTGAAAAAGTAAGAAAACTACAGAAAGAAGTCGAGGGAGAGTTAGAGAGTTAGAGTGAGAAAGAAATGTATATTTTTTATTTCATTAATGCAAAACTTAAAACTTCAGTCCAATCACTTGTTAAAAAAACATTTAATTGTACTTTTAAGTTTAATAATATATTTGCTAAATCAAATGTTTTAAAACGATAATAAATCGTTGTGGGATCATTTTACGGTCGGGAATTTTTGTTAGCCAGTTTACGGCCTTGGATTCAAAAATGAAACCTTCCAGCGGGAACAGGATAACTGTGTTTTAGTATTTTTCTTTTTTTTCATTAAATGTAATAATTAATTTTTTATTTTGGGAATTTTTATCTGTTCAATTTGAAATTGAATGGGTTTTCTTATTAAAACGGTAAAAATCTGCGGTGTGATGGTGATGAACAGCAGTGGAACCATCAACAAAACACAACAAATATGGCGAGTTTACTCAATGATATGATTAGGGTTTTGAGATAGTAAAATTTTATGGTCACTCCTCGCTTTTCTCGTCCCCTTCCAGCCTACCGATATCCAGGAATAAATAAGTAGCCTCTTATATTAAAAGCAGAATTAATTTTTTAATTAAAAACTTCTAATTTAACCCAATAGTCTACATAGAGAAATACTTTACATTAGCAACTGAATTTTAATGTACGGTGATGAAGAAGTTAACAATGGTGATTGGTCTGTAATTCCTTCTAGTCTTTCAAGAGCCAAGAACCTCCGGGCCGTCTCGCCAATTTAGCCTGTACATAATTTTGTAAAGTAAAAGTTGCATGAGGGATGAAGGGAAAGAAGGAGTTGGGTCACAGGTGCGAAGACTGCGGAAGGGAGTTCACCCTCGCGTACAACCTGAAGAAGCACAGGCGTACGCACACAGGCGAGAAGCCGTACCGGTGCAAAGAGTGCGGCCAGTCGTACAGCCAGAGCGGCGGGCTCAAGAACCACATAATGAGCATACACAGATCGGACCAGGTCTTCAACTGTCACTACTGCGGAAAGGGGTTTCCGATCAAAGACAGGCTCAAGCTTCACCTACGCATACACACTGGCGAGAAGCCTTACAGGTAAATGGTGGCGGCCTTCTACAACCGCTGAGCACACTCAGATTGCAACGGGTACTCCTCGTCCAAAGCCGATTTTGCCTCAATCAAAATCACCTCTGGAGACTTTAATGAACAATCAAGCTGGTAGTATTTACTTAATGTACAAGAACTTCATTTATTTAAAATATAAAATAAAAGCTAAAACCAAGTTCAAAGTTATAAGAACAGATTTACCACAAATATACCTAACACAATAAATTTCTCTAAATCGAAAGAAAGTTAAAGAATACATTGAATAATTATTATTAAAAGAGACTTTAATGAACCAAGTTGAAATTTATTTATAACTTTAAATCATCAAGTCATTAAACCCCAATGATTCATGCTTTTTTTCTTCAAACATTTTTACCAATTTCTTACCACCACACATTCTTTTTAATTGTATTATTTAATTAATTTTGTTATCTGATTGTGCTCAGCTTGTTTTCAATGACATGTTTTTTAAAACTTTGCATTTTGGGTGTTGGGTTGACTATGGTCGTAATCTATGGGCTTCATGGTGTGCTATATGCAGGTAAAGGGTTTTTTTAGTCGTTTCCATCTTTCACCTTTGCTAATGGTTAAGGTGTAGGGTTCTAATAAAAAAAAATAAAAAATAAACATAATTGAAAGCCCAAAAAAGGAATTTAGGGTGGATGTGTTGGACGAGAGCTGCACAAAAGGCGTTTTAATTTCAATCGTAAGTATACGATTTATATAGTTTACTAAAAAACAAAAAAAAGTAAAAAACAGGCTGTTTTTATCAAATATAGCTTTATTTTGGGAAGATAATTTTTTTTAAATATTCTAAAATTTATTAGAAATATTGAATACCCTAGTCGAGTGGTATTACCTATAGATATGTTAAATTATGTAAAAAATCTAAATTACAACGGATTTCCTTTTCTAATACAAAGTTATTATTAAAATAAAATAATTTATTATTTAAAAGTCACTATTTGAGTGAGAAAGGTGAGTATAAATTAAAATTGTAAGCACTGTTTTTTTTTTCAACAAGCATACAAATTAAAAAAAAATCAAATTTTATTGCTTTTTGTGTTGTTTTTTCTTTATATTGTTATTTGTCTGCCTGTGTTTTTGTTTGTGTTTTTTGTTGCGTTGAGAAAAGTAATAAAAAAATATAAAAAAATAAAAATTGCAGTTGCCCTCACTGCCCGAAGAAGTTTGCAAGGGGTAGCCAGCTCTCGCAGCATCTGAGGACGCATACGAAAGACAGGCCGTACATCTGCGCTCTATGCGGTGCCAATTTTGTATGCAAGACGAACCTGTTGAACCACATAAAACGGCATCAGGGCGAGCGCAACTACACGTGTCACAAGTGCGGCAAGGGTTTCATAAGGCGCGACGGCCTCCAGAAGCACCTCATGTGGTACCATGCGAACTATAAGGCGTTTGAATGCAAGATATGCAACAAGAAGTACAAGGGTCACCTGCTTCAGCACATGCGCATCCATATGGCCGAGAAACCGCATGCCTGTTCACATTGCAATATGAGGTTTATTCAATTATTTTATTTCTTTATGTGTAGTGGCCTTTTGGGGTGATAAACCTGTACTTTGATTTTCATCACAGTTTTGGCTTGTCAGATATCTTTATACTTCTCGTCATCTTCAGTAATGGGTCTATAGTATTTTTTCTTTCTATCAGGCCTATTTATACATTCATAAAAGGTTAAAGCGGTCTGTCATGTTCGTCTTTGTTTCACAAACTTATAAGATGAACTAGGCTAAACAGGAATCACACAAACCCACCTCTGAAGATTGCGTGAAGCCAAAACAGCAAGGAAGGCAGATAATAATGATCATAAGCATTCAAAATAAAAATTATGCAAGGTAAAGGTTAAAAGAGTCGGCCTCTTTGTGACCTTAAGCACCAAGATTGTGCAGTCACTGTTATTACTAGAGCTTTTCGTTAATCTTAATTTAATTTAAAAAAATCAGATTTCAAAATGTTAAGGCCTCTCATGAGTATTCTTCAGGCCTTGGCTTTTTCTCTCCCAGGAGTCTGAATCTCAGCCTGCATAGGCCTTCGTACCAACAGACAATATGGCTTCTTCATTTTTGCTTCTGGAGTCTACAGGTCCACTCAGCGGTCTTACTATCATTCTAGTCCTTGTTTATTTCTGTAGATACCAGCTCCTGACTCATACTCAATCTTCGAGCTTTATTATACCACAAAATGATCAGTAATGATTAAATTATAGGTTCATCACCCTATAGGCAGCAGGAGGAAATTTCAAGATTATAATTTTTTTTTTTTTAACTAGGTTTGTTCAAAGATCCCAGTTGACAGTACATGAAAGGACACATTCGGGCATTAAGCCTTATCGATGTGCTGTGTGCCATATGGCATTTGCACATTCGACAGCTTTGAAGATGCACGTACGGCGGCACACGGGTGAAAAACCATTCAAGTGCCTCATCTGCAAAGACAAGGCATTTTCCCAGCTGCCTCATCTGAAGAAACACATGCTTTCGATTCACAAGACGAACAAGCCGTACATCTGCACTGGCTGCCAGTCGTACTTCAAGACGAAGAACCAACTGCTCGAACACGAAGAGACATGCGAACGAGTATCTAGGAAGAAAATGGAGCCCGAGTTCGAGGGCGGGATGCCACTAGAGAAAATGAGACTCCTTTTAGCGGTGCTCCTCCAAAGGATTTCGACACCGGAAAAGTTACAGAACCTAGGCTATGGGAAAAGGCTGATAGACCTCGTACTCAAAGATTCGATTGAACAGTCGGGACGAGATCCTTGCAAAGAAAATGACCTGTCCGAGTCGGAACGCCTCAAGAAAAATGTGGAGATCCTCCTCGAGTGGACTGTTCCGAAAGTGTACATGGACAAGTTCAAACAGGAGAAACGCTCGATGGAGGAGCTACTAGAAGAATTTACTACATGACGCACAAAACGAATTCTAGCCCTTTTTATCATGCTATCACTATGGTGTAACAACTTTTGAAAAATCCGGTGTCTTTTGTTTTAGATTTGAACATTAACGGGCTCTTCTAAACAGAAAGAACTTCAATTTGACATCAAATTGAAATGCCATTCCGAAGTTTTTTACATAAGTACAAATTTTTAAATGTAGTTTAGAAATCATTTCTTTTTTAGCGGGAGAAATTTAGGAAAATTAAGCATTTAAGAAATATTTATTGAACATTTAGCCTAATCTTTTTTTTTATTTATAAACAATTTTTTTTAGGCCATAATACATTTGTTATTTCATTTTCTAACATCACTTTGTTAACTGTTTAATTAATTTTATATATTTGTTAATATTTTATTTTTTAATTTGAAAATATCAAGAGAAAAAAATATATAAGTCATTTTGCTGTAAACTATGATTCGATTTAGTCAGAATTGCGAGTTTTTTGAACACTGAATATTTTTACAAAAATGTTTTGTCTTTTTGCAATTTGTTTTCAGCATCAGCGATCAATTTTTAGTCATTGGGTTTTTTATTGGTTTTATTATTTATTGTATTCTTTGTCCTTTCTTCTGCTATTGGATTCCCAAGTGCCATTATTTTTTTTATTTTTTATTTTTGGTGTTTGTAAATGACAATGAAACAACTGAAAACTGCCCATTTTCGCATTTTTTGGTCATCACTTCAACCACTCGGCTCATAATTGATTCTAGTCTAGATTTCGGTGCCAGAATACTTGTTTATTTCTATCTTTTTTTAGTTACAGTGCAATAAGTTTTTCAGAAAAAAAATTGGGAGATTTCACAAAAGGCTGTTTATAAAATTGCTTAACTTTTTTTCTTTATAAAAAAAGAAAAAAATAATCGGACCAAGAACCAAAATATACCTAAGAAATCCCCCAATAAAATATTTTGTACATAACATAGCATTAATTTTTTTTGCTAAAATGTATCTAAGATCTTTTTTATTTATTGACAAAGTCAAAAATATTTATAGATGTTTTAATGTTTTTAGTGACAGACTCGCAAGAATGTTAAACTAAGCAAACTATATTACCCAAATTTTTACAGTTTTTAAAAATGTATCTTCCTTATTATTAATTTTTTTGTACTATAGTTTTTAAGCCGTGTAAATGCTCACTAATAAGATAATATGCCAAAGAACTCTTTTCTCCTTTTGTCAGGGAGGCGGCAAAACAGCACAAAACCAGCAAGCACAATTGATCTCAGAGCACTCGATCTCGTTTTGTTTTGTCTTCCCCGAGATGTCATGAACCGCCGAGTCTTGCCTGTTACCTCGATCTGCCAAAGAGAGAAGCTAGATTTATGTTCTTTTCATGCCCTATCCCTTTGAGACTTTACCTTTGACTGGAAACTTTAGGGTGTGGAGAATTTTTTTTTTTCATTTTCAATAAAGTTGATTATATTTAAGTATTTTTTTTATTAATCCTGTATAATCCACTTATAAATTACGTAAAACATCAGTTGTCGGATTGGACGAGGAAGGTCAAATAACTAGCTGTAGCAGCGCCCATCTGTGCCAAAGTAAAAATTAGTACAAGCTAAATTTTTTTATTAAAATTTAAAAATCTTACGGAAAGAAACAGCGGAAAATCAATTCTGAAGAATCCTCTAGCAGTGAATTCAACCTCAGGCTTAATGATAAAATGTACACTAAGGAGTCTCTGAAACCGTTGAAATGTAAAAAAAAAAAAAAATATTCTTCACAGATAATAAATAAGTGGATACAGACTGTAATATGTTTCTGCCTGATGTCCAGGAAGGAAAAAATGAAACGGAGGCTTGTGTTGAAATTTTCAGCCTGGAATATCAATTCATAATTCATAAATCAAACTTGTATTACCAATCGACTTACGTGTCTTTTTGGGGCAGTGCAGACATAAACGACGTGCCAAACTTGTAAGATCCTATAGCCGATCCAGAAGACGCTTGCGAAAAAAGAATCGAGTTTACCGGTTTTGAAATGCTTGATTACAAAGTACGTATTGAAGGTCATCTCGAGGAAAACGTGGGTCAAGAAGAATAGTAACCGTTGTGCGTATAAATCGTTCGCCTTCCTGCAGAGTCTGAAGACTTCGTAGTAGAATGAAAGCATGTCTTCGATGAACCTCGAGTCGAGCGTTTTAAGTTTAAACACCCGGTCTGTTAACGCTCGGTAAAACAGCGAAAGTGTGTACGCTAGTATTATAAACTCCGAAATAAATACTTGCGTTACAGTTAAATTATAATAGAACACGATTACAGCCAAGCCATCAGGCTTGTAAAGCTGAAAGTAGTATATTTCAAAAGCCGCCATGCAAAAGTTATACATGAAAGATAAATATATTATGTATAGTTGAGTAGAAGATGAGCTAAATATTAATCCCTTTCTTGAAAATTCGTTAAAAATTTTGCCCATGGATGATAACAGCGTGTCAAATTTTTTCCTTTCCTTGTATGTCTTTAGAGCCATAAAAATTGCAGTGCTTATCGCCATGATCGCTTTTAACTTACCGAGATGGTCCTCTAGATTATTATTGTTTGTATCGTCGTGTGAAGAAGAGTATAGGACGCGATAAACCGACAGGAACACTGCAAAAGACAGGGAGCATAATGTATGACTAGTGCCGATTAAGGAAAACCTCCAGTGAGAATTATAAGGATAAACACCGAAAAATTTGCCAATGGCTATAATCGGACTCAAATGTCTAATTACTACATTCCGACTTGAACTTTTACCAAAACAAACTGTCCTTTCCATTTTTAATGTAAGCATTCTAATGGTTAATCAATACAACTTTTGATTTATGAGTGAGTTTATTATTAAAATAAACTCCATCAATGTCGTGCATTAAAACATTATTTTCCCAAAGTCCCAAGTCAATATTTTAAGGATAAAAAAACTCAAATAGTTATTGTATTGAAACTTTTTTCCAGCTGTAAATGTATATCCCCAAGATAAGAAGTCACTCTGAGTCGGTTTTTGAGATATCCTGATTGCAGCTTTATAACCCTGAAAGCTTGACTGTAATCGTCTTCTAATTTAACATTTTTTAAATTTTTTTTATATAATATTTACGTAAGTACTACATTTTTTACAGATATAGCGACTTCTGTTCATCAAGCTTTGAGTAGGTGCTTGTGCAGCCTCAATTAATGACCTTCAACACCTTTAACAATTTGTGTTTACAACTATACTTAAAATATAACAATACAACTATCTAAAACTCTTTACAATAACAGTACAATACAATTATCAAATTTGTATGCTGGAAACAATCACAGAAATTCGAGATCTCAACAACTCAGTCTTTTCATATTTATTCAGCAATTGTTTATAGAAGTTGTTTATTAAATAAGGTCATTAAATTTATATGAACTTTTTCTCAGGTATGTTTTTAACCACCTTGTCAAATTTATTTTGTTTTTAGTCATCTAGTGAAGGACTGTGATGCTTTTTTTGGGTAAGGTCACTAGTATGTCAATGGTATGTCTTGTATCTTTGCCTCTGACCTCTGCAACCTTCAGAAGACTTTGTATGTTTTGCGTAACGTATTTTAATGTACAATATTCAACAGTACTAGCATCGTCATTACACTCAGTTGAAAAAGGATTGCAGTGATCCCTTTTTTGCTTGTGACTAGTGATCCTCAATGTTCTATTTTGTAGTGTGGTTGCCACCTACAGTTTTCACGGTACCCGGTAGGTGTCACTACCAATTCTGGAATAGTCCTAAGCCGGGAACACCCGATGCAACGCTAGGCGATGCTACCCGATGCAAATGCAAAGTCCAATTTTCCATAAGTTTGTATTACTCCGTTCACCCCGTGATTATTTCTGGCCAGTGTTCATTGGCAGATTAGACGAAGTCCTTTCATGTTATTTTTTAGTAGATAAGGTTCGATGGAGGTTCCTAAACTAATTATTAATCAAGCTTTCGACCCCAGCACTCCACAACCCAGCAAATGTTTCGCGTTGTGGACCGCAAATTCTCATCCTTCGAGCGCAAAGAGTACTGCGTAGGGGCTTTTCTTGATGTGTCGCAAGCCTACCGTGTTTGGCATGACAACCTCATCCTACCAAATACCCTCTACCTAATCCTTCATTCATACCAAACTGAACATCAGGGTCTGCCAAGGATCAGCCTACTCCGACTATTGTCCTCTGTGAGCGGGAGTACGTCAGGGCAGTATAGTTGGACCAATCCTTTACCTCCTCTACACCGCAGATATCACAGCGCCTCCAAGGGCAGACGCAGCCAACAAAAGACCCAGAAGTTCACATGTAAGTTTGAAAACCCCGACGAAAAAGAAAATAACCATGGACTCTAACGAGCTATTACAGTCATTCGCAAAAATAATGGACGAAAAATTTGAATCCTTTAGTATAAAGATGAAAAAAGACATAGCTGATAAGGACTGATCTAATCCAGAAACTTCTATGCCTAAAGAAGAAAATAATGCGCTCCGCAAAGAGATTCTTACATTGAAGAAAGATGACCAGGAGAACAGGCGAAGCTTGGATGCATTGGATATGGCCCTAAGAAAAAACAATTGTCCCTGGCCTAGAAGTGAAGCAGGGAGATTACCCCTCCAAATGGCCCAGACTTTTTTCAGTAGCGTCCTCCAGATATCCGAACCTATCCATATGAACTCAGCGCAGGTCCTGGGTAAAGAAGGTGCTACCCGCCGGCCTCTCTTGGTGTCTCTATCCTGTCCCCAGGACAAGTGGAAAATAATAAAGAGCTCACCTATTCTTCGTGGGACGGGTTACAGTATCGCTCAAAATTTTCCAGCATCGATCAGGCAGAAAAGGTTCGAGGCGAAATATGAAGCCGTATTCCAAGGGTCAAATGTCTCCTGCGCTCTGACCAACTGTTCTTCCTAGCTATTTTTTGAATGAGACTTCTGGACTCTGTTCGAAAGATTCTGGAAAACCTGTCGACAATATAAGTGGAGTGGAACTTTCTTCTCTTATACAAGGTCTTCGTTCATCCGAGAATACTTCAGATCGCTCGCGAATTACTGCTGGCGATCCGTCTTCGTCTGTCACAACTGAATTGCATAAGAAAGTCTGTCGGAGTGCTCCTTTAAAAATTATGTGTTATTAAATAGAAGGTCTTTATAAAATAAAAAACATAGTTGCTCTTTCTTTAATTTTGTCAACTCTTTGGTTGAGGGTGACTCTTTATTTTCAAATTTTTTTACCAAGCATAACCTACGTTGAAATGCTGCAAAAACCTCCACCTTCGGACGTGTGGTCATTGGAAAGAATCAGAATTTGCAAAGTTTATCCAAATTGATGGTTTCGAATTAATCAAAATTTCCACTCCCAAAATCATTTTCAACCTTAACAATTTTTACATAGGGATCTAAATCTAACAATTAATGTGAGAATAGCGGAAGAAAAAAATTTAGAAGAGATCGAACTGGAATGTATTGGGAATTTTAGTTTGTATCGCCGACCCAGAGATCTAACCGTCAACTCACGTGCCAAAAAATTCCTAGAATTATGTGCAGACTATGGCTTGTTGATTCTTAATGGTCGTTCTATTGGTGATGCAGAAGGGCACTTTACATATACATCTAGAAATGAAGCTTCGGTCTGTGTCCTGGTATGTGTACCAGTTCATTTATGCACCTTGAGGATTTTTTGGTTTTAGGGGAGACATATTCAGATCATCAGCCTATAGTGTTTTCCATGTTTTGTGACAATACCCCCAATTATGAAAGCCCTACTCCACTTAAAAGGTTGCCTTGGTCAGATAAACACATTGACACTTATAAACTCTGTGAGTGGGAGTACGCCAGGGCAGTATACTTGGACCGATCCTTTACCTCCTCTACACCGCAGATATCACAACTTCACCCTCCACCATCCTTGCATCCTTTGCTGACGGCAATCTGCGCTATCCTCTCATCCCGATCCCACAACTGCATCGTAGGAGCTCCAGGTACATGTCTTAAAAACAACCGAATGGAGAAAACGCTGGCGTATAAAAGCAGACATGTATCATTCATCCTCATACAATACTCCCATCCCCAAAACAGACTGCGTCCGCTACCTTGGGTTCCACCTAGACTCAATATTAACCTGGAACCTACACACACGACTAAAACGACAGGCAGTAACCAACGTTTCGGTCTATTCTACAGACTGTCACGTAAATCTGTTTCAACGCAAAACAAACTGACAATCTACAAGACAATACTAAAACCAATCTGAACGTATAGACTAGAATTTTTGGGGCACCGCCAAACCTTTCAAAATCCAAAGAATACAGTCCTTCCAAGCCAAAGTCCTCAGAATCAGTCGATGCTCCTTACAACACTCCATAAAAAAATAAATAAATAAAATAAAATACAAAACATTTTTTCTCACTAAACTCTCTTCTCACCCCGACCGAGCTGCCCAATCTTTATCCAATGGAAACCACCCCTATAATCCCACCATACGACTGAAGAGGTGATGGTCTCGCGACCTACTTAACGAGGATTAGTCCTCGCGTTTAGCTGGGAAAACTACAATGGTTGTTAACTCCCTTCACGACTCAAGATCCATGCCAAATGTAAATTTAACGGATGGTATGGTGAAAAAGGATACTAGGAAGCGGGGTTTGCACTCCCCAGGCACTGCAGCCTTATGGCTTATTGTATCTTCCTAGTCTCGAGAAATCGACGTTTTGAAATTTGCTCGTCTGTTCGAATCATCACGTGCGATAAGAAATGGATTCTGTACGATAGCACGTACAGATCAGTGGTTGGACAAGCATGGGGTGCCAAAACGCTTCCCGAAACCAAATCTACACCCAATAAAGGTTTGATGGTGTACTCCTGGGGTTGTTCATTATAATTTCGTGAATTATGGTGAAGCTATCACAGCATACAAAATATTTGCAAAGAAATTGACAAAATGCACGGGAAACTGCAATGTCTTTGTCCAGCATTGGTAAACGGTAAGGGGCCGATTCTTCTTCACGATAAGCCAGGCCACATATCGCAAAGCCAACCCTGCAGAAACTTAAGGACTTAAGATATGAAACTTTAACGCACCCTCCAAATTCACCAGACCTCTCACCTACAAACTTCCACTTTTTTTAGGCATTTCGATCACTTCTTGTGGGATATACTTTTAGAGAACGTGATGAAGCCGAAAACACCTGTCAAGACTTTATTGTCGAAATAAAGATTTTTATGCAAGCGGAATAAAAGCGCTTATTGAATGTTGGCAAAGATGTATAAATTGTGATGGAAAATTTT